AATTCGCTGTATATCTATATAAGTCTTGTAGTTTTTGGTTGCTTTAGAGGAGGATATTAATCTCACAAGATACTCTTAGAATAACCCTAGTCTGTAAAGAAATTCTAATTGAATTTCATAGAGGCATATAACACCTGTGCTAGCAATTAGGATTGTACTGAACCATTTGATCACTGACCATATTCTTTTGTGAATGACTTTGAATCTGTGAATTATTCAAACACCTTAAAGATATAAATGATAGGAAGTACTAAACGTCCGAATGAACTGAGTTCGTCTCACACATTTTATAAATCTCTATTATTTCCTACAGTCACATTGAGTACCACCTACAAACTCCCGTGGTAGCCTGGATACCATGGAAAGTGATCAAGTTATTTTATGATAAGAAGCTAAGTCTTTATTTAGTTTAGTTTTTAACTGGTGGCTAAACTAGCCCTCTCCCTATCTAGGTAGTGGCCCAGATTTTGGAACATGGTGGGCAGTTTAAATCAGCTGACCATTAGTCACTCTAATTCTCAATCATCAGAATCGTTGGAATCATTTACAATACCTAGCCTCTTTCCAAGTTTTCTCATTTTATATATGACCTCTTCCTGGACGAGATTGAAACACATGGCGATCAGAGCCATGCCTCCAAGCAGATAGAGCGAACAGATGACCAATTTCTCTTGTGACCCCGCAGTGTCCGAAACAACCGTGTCACCGGGTACTAGATCGCCAAACCCAATAGTACTGAGAGTAACAAAACAGAAATAAGCACCATCTAGGTAGTTCCAGCCTTCCCAGAGAGAAAACAGAAAAGCTCCTCCACATATGTATCCAGTAATTATGGCAAGACACAGAGCTATAGGTACATTGGCTCTCGGTTTCCCATAACCCCCTTCTTCTGATAAATCATCTGGAATGGCTTCCAGTTTAACTTCCTCGGCGATAGGCTGCGGTGTCCCGAATTTACTGGGCAGAGAAGCCTCGAGAGAGCCGTGAGATATAGGGGTGTTTTCTTGTAGTACGATGTGATGAACACGGTAATGCTCGGGATGGCGATGGCGGCGACGACCGTCCTCTGGCTTACATCTGCACAATCTACGGTAGACGTACTTAAAAGATTTAGCTAAAAGATCTCCAATGTTGGTCAAGTACAGGAACATTAGAGGGATTCCGACGATAGCATACAGAATGGTCACCATCTTTCCCCAGTTTGTCTTTGGTGCAATGTTCCCATAGCCTGTAACAGAGAATAAATTACGTAAGTAACAGCAGTTCAACATTATGTGGGGCTCCAGGAACTGATTCGTCAGTTCTTCTGAATGATTTTAAAGTTATTTCAGGTAAGGATAATAAGTATTAAGTTTTAAAATAAATACATAAATAACATTTTGTTATTAATCCTTACCGTAATTCTGATTTATATATGACTTAAATAAAATTGATGATAATAATTACACTTCACTCACTTAATCTAACTCACACCATAACAGCAGTTGTTCATGAATATTGATGATATAAATAGCGTCCAGACCACTTCATATCCCATCCGACTTGATGAGCCCTGGTATTTGGCGAAAGGCCTTATGGGCATTGGATATGACAGATTTAGTTTGTTTTACATGTTTTTCTTTGCTTTCACTCATAAGTTCTTAAAATTATACTTGCCTTGTGAAACTATATTCCGCTATGATAGTCATTCAATCACGTAATTATATATTTAATTGAGCAAATCCTTGAGAAATTGAATATCTGTAGTCCTTAAATGTATTTCTCACCCACTATGTAATATAAGCTTAGTATACTGTCTCTTTGATAGTTATTTTAAGTGGAACAATGTATTTGTACACTAAAACAACAACAAACAGCTATTAGCACAATTTCCACAACATTGTAATGTCCTAAGAACCAACCAGCTGAGCTTCGATAGACCAGATTCGATTTTACCAAGCAAAATGAAATTTTCGATCTGAAATGTTGATAATACTGTCCTTCATTATTTCAGAGCTTGATTACAACAATGCCAGCTAAAGAGTTTTGTTTTCGATTAAATTTAAATGATATTTCACCCTTTTGCTAATAATTAACAACAAATATTAACATTCGTCTTCGAAATAGCCAGTCTGATGCTCTACATAACCTGAATGGCAAAAGGAAACCGTGTATGGGATTCTTTACGAATCCTATGATTAACAATGTTTCACGAAGCAAATATCATACGTAAAATTTGATTTTCGTATTAATTACCTTAACACCAAACAGCACAAAATTACACATAAGTCGGAAAATATCTTTTTAACGAGTCTTTTTCAGACAATAAATATTACACGTCTTTCGATTAGTCTGTCCCCTGAAAATGAAGACCTTCCTTGCAAAAGCACTCGTGTTATCAAGGTTCTTATCCTGTGATTCCTCTAATGTTTGATCCTGTATGATTTTTTACATTCTTATAGGCCAAGAGCACAATACAAAAAAGTTGCTAGAAAAGGATTTTCGTACCGAAACTCCAGGGACAAACTGTTCTTTGTATCAACTGTTAGCACTTGGTGTCCTGCATTTTGGAGTACAATATATCCACGAAACATTTTACCAGTCTTTGAGTGAAAGTCAAATCTGTCAACAGTCACAATTTTTTGTGGTTGTATTTCCTATATGAGCTAGTGACTTCTCATTTGTTTTGTTACGCTTAGGACTATAGAGTGACATGGAAGAAAATTCAATGAAACATACAACAATATCACTGGAGGTAATTTGATTACATGAGAACAAAAAGTTACATCTATTTTCAGTTCAAAGAACTTAATTCACACTTTAAATCATAGCATACAACAACGTTTTGTATAAATATGCAGCATGATAATTCTGGTATTTAAAAATAAAAATATTAGTTTTTCGAAAATGCTAATTAATACAATAAGAGCTAATTAAAGTTTTGCTTTTTCACAAAAACACAAGCATGTGTGTGTCAGCTTCTGGGATCCATAGATTCGAATTATTAAGACTTAAGTAGGACTATATGGTAAACAGAACATGTTCATACAGTGATGAACTACCTTCTGCTCCACCTCAGATCATTTGTTAGTTTCTTATGTAATTTAAGAAGAAAATCCAATGAACCTCAAACACACTTACATCACTTCACATTGATTAACAGGATGTGTCTTTGGGAGTGAGGTACCTTAAATCTGGATAACATGCAAAAAAGAGGGGTAATCAGGGGAGTCACTCATGATTACACGGGCCCTCATTAATATGGATATCATTTACTTGTTGTGTTGACAAAAATATCCCACCACACCTCTTGTAGATCCTAAATAACTTGAATTTACCATGAAACTATAAAAATATCAAAGTCAGAAGCTTGTTGTACGTGAAATGATGACATCGTAGATATCAGAATATTATCATATTCCCAATTGTTTTAACATTCTTTTACATGAACTTATCAGATCGACTACAAGTTTGAGCCAAATTTTTCATTCCATTTTTCCTCAACACTCTCATCATCAGAATTTTCAAAATAAAAGCATCAACCAATAGTTCGAATCGTCACCATAGGTGATGCAGACTCAGAGTTCAGTACAACTGTTATAACAGGAACAACTGCTGTTCATGCGTTGTGTTCTTTTACATCCACAATGCACATAATGAAGAACTTGCTCAGGTGTGGGATCACATAACATCCATTTAATGGCCAAATCGTTTGCTTGCATTGCTCAATCATATCCAACTGGACTTGGGGCGTTGATAACTTCTCTGCAGCGAGCCAATGGCTCTTTCCGAATGGAGAAAGAGCAGGCATGGCAAGCCGACCAAAAACTTAAATTTAGATATAATTGTTCTAAGACATTCTAGAATTAACACTACTTCATGTAATGTAGTTCTAAGCACTATTAAAGTTGTTTAATAGATTGCATGTATATCCTGAAAATCCTTTAAAAATGTAGACATAAAAAAGGGTATTTTTTGACGTTATATCAAGTCATTTATTCTCCAGTATTTAATATTCCCATTGAATGCTTTTCTCTTTATTAATATTGTACATTTTTAAATTACAAGTTTTATGTGGTTCTTAGATTATAGAAATTATTAAGGTTTCAATTATTACACCATTCTGACACATTTCAGTCAGATACTTGTTGTCCAGAAAAAAAAATTAAGGAGATGCAAATTGTTGATAAATAGTCAATTCTGTTTCGTTTTTTTTAATTTTTATTAAAATGATAAATGGGACTACGTACCTCAAATTAAATGAATTATATTAAATTACACATTTATTTTCGAAAAGTTCCGTTTAAAGTTTAAATTTCACCAACCCCTCACAAAAACAAGAAAAATAACAAACTCTGTCGCGTTTCAAGCGGAAATATTTTATAAAAGTATACATGGCACCGTGATAGACATTTAAAGAGAAAAAATGCCCTCAGGTGTTTGGTACGAACAATAAGTGGACTGGGCACCCGGCCTATTAGTATCTTGAACCAATCATCTATTGAATAGCAATGCAGTGAGCATTCGCTCACTTATGAAACTTCCTCTGACGTTTCAGGATAACAATCCATAAAAAAAGTGAGTGCAAACGGATATAATGATCCTTTTGCGTGACATCCTAAATTCCAACTAGTTCGACTTCCATTACGTTATAGAATTTCGGAAAACTTCAACAACATAGAACTCGGAGCAAGTAGACCAGCAGAGAATGTAAAATCTTACTTTTATTACACTACAAGCTTTTAGCTCTTTAGTCGGAACTTTCTACGCATAGACTGTACGTAGCAACTCTTATTCAGTGGAAAGATTCGATTATTGTTGCTTAGCAACATTTCAGCGCAAAGACGATTTCTAGTTTTTTGTAATTTTACTGTTCACTCTTTTGTTGTTGTTGGGTTGTTGTTTTTTTTTTCACAGGGTGCATTGAAATTTGGTATAAAATTGTTTTAACCTCATATGGACTGGAAGGATTTATTGAAAGTTGCGTTTCAGGCAAGGTGTTGCCATGCTTCACACATAATTTACAACACTATTAATTTGCAAAAAAAAAACACAAAAAACACTTAAACACTAGTTTTAGAAATCATTAGCTTTGAATAGAAGATATAATTACTGTGAAGCATTGCAATTTTTTTTACTTTCTTTAGTTGTTTGATATATCTTGCCTGATTCAAGATATCAAGTATTAAAAAATCAGGTGAGTCACAAAATATGAAACACTATAAGTTTATTCGTTAAGTGGACAATGTAACACTAAACAGCTTCGATTATCTTGACTTCGTCTACTGCTTCACTGGTGATTTGTATTGTAGGGTGTCCTGGTCCAATAAAATCCTATTAAATACATATCCATCAGTTAAAGCTGTTGAATTATTTTGACTTAATGTAATCCTGCACGCTGTCTACCGTTTCAAAGCTGTTTTTATATTGTATAGTGTTCTGGTCTAGGGCTTATTATGTAACAGAACTCGAGTTAAATATAGTAAGATTCTATCAAGTAAGTAGCCAGAATTTGCTAGTACGGAAGGGAGCTTTCTAACGCTAAAAATTAGTGTTGTGTGTAGACCAGTAACAACTTTATTAAAAAACAGACAGATCAATAATTTGTATGTAAAAGGGTTATAAACTGTTATAAAGCGGGTAACTTCTGTAACATTATGCGTGATCACAAATTTGCAAATGTCTTTAGTTAAGAAGAATAAATTTTCCAACGATTTTGAGTTGAGATAATTATGATTTGAGTATTTGCCTAGTGGATGATATTAGAAACATCGTATTTTTTGGTCTATAACATCTAAGCTAGCAAAAAATTGTTCAGTTGGAATTTTTTCTTTTCGTAGAAAGACATATCACTAACAGTTGTAAAAGTTGAGCCCCACAGTTAAGACACGTAATTATACAAATAGAGATTATACTTTTATTTCCTTTATCGTCGCTATAGCTCATGTTAAACCTACAGTGCTTTATCCATTTAACTAATGTTTCTGTTATTCAGTCGTGAACTCTCTTATTACCCATAAATTCAAAGCACGTGTTTCTCAAACTAAGCACGAGCCGTTCTTTTGTAATATAAATCAAAATTTATTTAAACCTCCCGTCTTCTTTTTATTCAACTTTTTAAATCAATACATATCCCTATAAAAATCGTTGTCCAATTTCTTTAATATACATCTTGACAAAACTACGAAAACTAGCTTTGCTACATCCATCAGAATGTTTGTCGTGGGGTAGATGTCTTTCATGTTATTT